TGTGCCCCTGGAAGGAGTGGGGCCTCAGGCGGAAGGGATGGGGCTAGGGCTAGGCAGTGTCATGGCTCCCTCATGCAACCATCAATGCTCCTGGAGCGCGCTGAATGGCATGCCAGAAACAATTTAAAGGGGCCAGGGCTCCAGCCGCCAGTGCTACTCCAGGCTCTTTTGTATCACTAGGGCCTGGGGCAGTCGCCCCCCTTGTCTCTCCCCCCCCAAGTGGGCCGGCTACACTGGAAACTGCACGACAAAACTTTTGCCTCCCAGAAGTGTTAAATGAACAAAAGACAAAAGCTTTGCAGAGGAAAAGCGCTGGTGTGAACAGCTTGTAGCTAATGCTGCTTTGAGCAGGTGGAAGTTTTTTGTTGGCAAAAGAGCCAACGTGCCGACAAACAGCAGCTATGCTGCATGACTTTTAGTGACATGGTTGTAGTGGCACAAAAGCTGAAAGCCTTAGTGGTTTAAGGAAGAGAAACTGTAGATGGAGCCATGTAAGGATAGTGCAATTGAAAATGTAAAAGATTATAGTGAGAAGATTATAGTGTGTAAACAAAGAGGAGAGATTTCTTCACAAGTCAGGGATAGCCACTGTAGAACCTCCAACAAGGTATGGCATTGACAGAAGCAAGAGAAAACCCTGGCTATTAAATTAGCTCTTTCCATCAGAATCCACCGAGGCTGACTGGACAACTGCCAGAAGCAGAAATATATTTCTCGAGGGAAGAAGAAGACGTGCTAAGATAAATCAGGATCATGCCAAAGCAGCTGATTGAGAAATCAGCCTTTGAAGTCAGAAAGAACTCAGGTAGAATTCTGCCCTAAAGTCTGAAGGGGCAGACATAACAGGTATGAGGGGAAGCCACTGCACACTGGCAGCCATTTGGACAACACACTGGAGGAAATAAAAGTCTGCGTTCAGCTGCACAGTTCTGCTCAGAGGAGCCAAAGCAGCTAAAATACTGAAACACACACAGGCTGTGGGATCTTGTTGAACCAGACAATGAGGAGACTTTCAGCTGATATTTCAAACATGCAGGACAACAGCTGAACTGCAGGTGAACTCTAGACAAGTGGAGAAGCTAATATAACAAGGGAGGAATGGATCAGGGAAAGATCGGGAAACGAGGCTGCTTTACCCAATTTCAGCGGAGGGGAAGGTATTGGTAACACTAGCCTCGTGTGTGTCTGTTGTAATAACCGGGGTCTATCAGGCCTGCCCTGAGTGTGAGCGAAACAGTTGGAAAGTGGCTGAAGGTTTATAAAATATCGTACTCGCCTGCAAGAAAGAATGTTGACAGCAAAGGAATGGAAGGAGAAACAGGAAGAGGCAATAAAAGGAAGACACAGATTGATCGAAACAAAAATGCTTATTGATAACACCAATGGCCTGTATTAAGATGGTGAATGGTAAACAAAAGAAGATGGAATCGGAAATACAAGACCATCTGGTGCTTCAGAATTTGATGGGGAACAGGAGGAGGTTTGGAGCTATTCTGCCCAGGACTCCTTTTGAGGTCCTTCAAAGGGAAACTTCGGGGGGGAGGGGGACTGCAAACAGCAAGCTCTGCCATCATGGCTGCCACCGGCACCATCTTCTGGCAGAGGGGACTAGTTGGGAGGGGCCCAAGGGGGGGTGTCAGCCCACAGGGGCCACCTGACCTCTCCATATGACATCCCCATGTGGCTCCTCCCTGTCCCACACCTGGCCTGGGGGCCCCATGCTCTGCCCAACCCATCCCATGTTACCTGGGTGGGGAGGAGGAGTGTCACTCTCCTGCCGTGCTGCACTGGACACAGGCCGTCCTGCTCCTTCCCCACTGTGCTGCACCATGCTGGCAGCCTCCCAGGTAGCATGGCTATTGGCTGCCTGGCATGTGGGAGAATGCTGCTGGTGCCAACCCATTCCAGCATGTTGCTCGGAGCAGTGTCCCCTCCAGGCAGCATGGCTGCCCTTTTAGGAGCGTTGTCTGACACCCCCAAAAGAGTCTGCACAGAGATGGGGAAAGCAGTCACCCATTGCTCTGACAACTGAGAACCAAAGAGGAAACACACAGACTAAGGAAAAGAGGAGTAAAGCCATAGCTTCCTGGATCATGTCTAACACCGAAGCAGGGTGTGCCAGGGACTGCCACGAAAGGCAGGTGACTGAACAAGAGACAAAGATTTCTGGGTAGGAGGAGAGATTTCTTGAAAGTAAATTGTCAAGAGTTGATTTGTTGCTGCTCCTTGTGCACCAGCCTTTTGGGTTTGGTTCTTAGAGACAGGGTTTCCTGTAAGCTGCGTGTTTGTGTGGCTGCTCAGGAAATATTCCAACACTAGTCCTAGTCTCCCAGCTGATTAGCAGGCACATAAGAATGGCCAGACTGGGTCAAACCAAAGGTCCATCCAGCCCTGTATCCTGTCTGCTGACTGTGGCCAATGCCAGGTGCCCCAGAGGGAGCGAACCGAACAGGTAATGATCAAGCAATCTCCCTCCTGCCATCCATCTCCATCCTCTGACAAACAGAAGCTAGGAACACCATTCCTGACCCATCCTGGCTAATAGCCATTAATGGACTTAACCTCCATGAATCTATCTAGTTCTTTTTTAAACTCTGTTATAGTCCTAGCCTTCACAACCTCCTCAGGCAAGGAGTTCCACAGGTTGACTGTGCGCTGTGTGAAGAACTTCCTTTTATTTGTTTTAAACCTGCTGCCCATTAATTTCAGTTGGTGGCCCCTAGTTCTTATATTATGGGAACAAGTAAATAACTTTTCCTTATTCACTTTTTCCACACCACTCATGATTTTATACACCTCTATCATATCTCCCCTTAGTCTCCTCTTTTCCAAGCTGAGAAGTCCTAGTCTCTTTAATCTCTCCTCATATGGGACCCGTTCCAAACCCCTAATCATTTTAGTTGCCCTTCTCTGAACCTTTTCTAAAGCTCCCACAACTAGGTTTGTGTTTCTTCTGGTGGTGCACATTTGCCACATGCCTCAGTGCATATAACAAAATTTATTCCACACAGATGGAAAAGATTAGACCTGGCAACGCTGCTTAGAGGAGATTATTCAAACCAAAGCATCAGGATTCATACAGCATTAGTGAACTTCTCTCACTCTGACAAAAAGCCCCTTGATGGTCCATGACCAGAAGTGGTAAAGATCTTCAACACACAGCATCCTCCGGCCGCATAATGCTACCTAGGATTAGAGCGGCTTGGTTCAGTACTGGCTCAAAGCAGAGAGCACCACAGACCAGTGCAATCCAATTTCACAGGTGACAAGCTGCACAAAAGCCAATAGACAACCCCATCAGATATCATGCAGAAGTAGGGCCCACTGTGCTAGACAGCACCACCAGTACCACTTCCTCCAACATCTACAGAAGGCTTTTCGTGGCAGTCTCCCACCCACATCCTGACCAGGTCCAAGCAGTTGGAAGGTTGCTCAGATGGTGTATGTACAAGATAGAAATAGGTGAATTCATATAGCCCGAAGCATAGTATCTACGCCAGTAATATGTTCTTAGCTATTCTGGATGACACACAAGCTTGTACTGCTACTTTTTTCTCTCGCTTGCTAGACACATACCTGGGCATACAGGTTCTGCTGTGGATAGGCACTTCTGATGGGGTACATAGCAGTTTGGTAAGGATTTGGAGATGGAGAATAGGGAGGTGGTGCACTGTTACTCTGGGTAGGTGGAACCTTGTATGGAGTCCCAGCGGTGTACCCTGTTGAAAACAAAAACAGCCTGCATTAGTGCCATGCCTTAAGCCTACGGGAGACAGCAGAGGAGCAGGCTGACATGGCGCAATAGCAATTTCAACCATGCTGAGAACACCATTTTCACTCAGTGTCTACAGCGCCCCACAGATGCAGAAGCCACTCAATAGGAGTCTAGAGCAAATCACTGGCTCAGCCTAAAGGACAATTTTTCCATATCAACAAAGAATTAGGGGGGCTACGGAGCAGAGGAACTCAGAGGGCTTTGCAGCTGTCTGAGCTGCAGTGGTAACAGTAGCTATCCGAGGCCACAGTAAACCCAAATGCTTTCTGGGGCGGGGACCCCGTCTAACACGCCCAGCGCCCAGCACAATGGGGTGCTGACCCTGAATGGAGCTTCAGGCTGTTACACTAATACAGTTTCTAAATGATTACAGCTGAGTCCCTCTCCCAGAGCTCTTCTCCCGGAGAGACTGCAGCAATGATCAGGACCGCTGAGGCAAAGCTCCTCACTGTCGGTGTGTCTAGACTACATGGCTCTGTCGACGGAGCCATATAAATCAGTGTATTCGGCATAGTCAAAGAAGCAGGGATTTCAATAATCCCCGCTTCATTAAAATAAAAATGGCCGCCACGCTGTGCTGACAATCAGCTGATCCGGCACAGTGCGGCAGTCTAGACGTGAAACGAGATTTACCAGAACGGTCGACAAAGGCTTCCTTTGTCGACCGCGCCGCGTCTAGACTGCCGTGCTGTGCCGGATCAGCTGATTGTCAGCACAGCGTGGCGGCCATTTTTATTTTAATGAAGCGGGGATTATTGAAATCCCTGCTTCTTTGACTACGCCGAATACACTAATTTACATGGCTCCGTCGACGAAGCCATGTAGTCTAGACGTACCCTCTGAGTCCATTGAGGGAGCAGCATAGCCATGCAGGTTTCTGGCTGGAGACTGACAAATCTGGCTGCCCAGCTACTCTCTGGGATTACATCACCCAAACAGCCAGAGACCAGCCACTTCCTGACGACTGTGGGGAACAATACCCTGGTCCCAGGACCAAGGCGGAGGAAGGCACCCGGGCTCCATATTAAAGGCAAGTCCCTCGATTATTTTGAAATGTTTCTGTTTCTGAAGCCTCAGCCCAGTCAAGGCCACCATTGCGCCAGGCACTGTATGAGTCTAAAGGAGACGTTACACTGTTGGCTCTATGCTGCTGTCCTATTAGGGGAGACATGACAAGGGCCAGACTGAGATTTGTTCACCCCCACGCTCTTTTGTTTGAATCCGGATGTAATGTCATATAAGGATTTCTGAACAATGTGAACCCATAATGTTTCCCGAGAACAATACGTTTCAAAACACTGGGCCTGATTCAGTAAATCGGGGGCATGGAGGTGTATAGTAGGGCAGCTAAATATAGGTTAATTGAATAGTCATAAGAACATAAAAACATAAGAATGGTTGTACTGGGTCAGACCAAAGGTCCATTAGCCCAGTAGCCTGTCTGCCGACAGTGGCCAGCACCAGGTGCTCCAGAGAGGGTGGACTGAAGGCAATGATCAAGCGATTTGTCTCCTGCCATTCCTCTCCAGCCTCTGAAAAACAGAGGCCAAGGACACCATTTCTATCCCCTGGCTAATAGTCTTTTATGGACCTAACCTCCATGAAATTATCTAGCTTCTCTTTAAACTCTATTATAGTCCTAGCCTTCACAGCCTCCTCTGGCAAGGAGTTCCACAGGTTGACTACACGCTGTGTGAAGAACTTTCTTTTATTAATTTTAAACCTGCTACCCATTAACTTCATTTGGTGTCCTCTATTTCTTGGTAGTCAAGTAATCTCATGAATTCTTATCGGTTAGTCCACTATTCTATAGTCCCCGGGGGCGGGGGCAGCAGCGAGTGTGCTCCGGCCTCACTCCCGAGGAGCCCCCTGCCACTCTGCTCTGCTGTTTCTGTATCAGAGGCAGCAGCGCAGGGTGCCAGGCGTGAGCTGGTCCGTGAGGGGAGCCAGTTTAAAAACAAGCTCCCCTCGCAGACTGCCTGCCTGTCACCTTGTGCTGCTGCCCGGACCTGTCGCAAGCCAGGACTGAGCTGGGCTGCTGGCCAGCCTGCTAAAAAAATTATTCTCAATGGCGGGGTGGGGGGAATGCTTGTCCGTTATAGCATTTACTGATAAGCTTTTGCTTATTCGTTAATCGACTACACTATTACATCCCTAGTGTATAGTACATCTCACTGGAGGGGTTCACCTCTTGTACGGCAGCTTAAATCCTTGCAGGGTTTTTCTTTCCTTGACTGGAGGGAAGGGGACGTCTAGATTGGACAGTTAGGAAAACTATTTCACTAGGAGGGTGGTAAAGCACTGGAATGGGTTATCTAGGGAGGTGGTGGAACCTCCATCCTTAGAGGTTTTTAAGTCCCGGCTTGACAAATCCCTGGCTGGGTTGATTTAGTTGGGATTGGTCCTGCTTTTAGCAGAGGGTTGAACTCGATGACTTCCTGAGGTCGCGTCCGACCCTAAATTGCCATGATTCTATAATTACAGTCTGGGAAATACTGCTCTCACATATCCACAACTGTCCAAACAGTGACTATGTTTTCAAGTCTTCCACAGCATTCATATGGTGGCTTCTTGGGTAATACCAGTACTCACGGGGTTAAAAACAAGGCATGACTCGAGGGGCTTGCATTACACCTCTAAATGCCCTTCAAGACCATATCTATAGTTTGAGTAATTTTCTCTCCAATCTGGGAGCTTTTGTCCTCATTCATTGTCTGCTGGCTGGTTAAATCAGTAATATAATTGTTGGGGATTCTAGATTGCACCAGACTATTTTTAAGTGCTTACGCCGCAAAGTAGTGACTGGAAAGCTTGTGGCAACGCAGCTGCAGAGGAAGGGCTGAGTCTCTCTTGTCCTTCCCTAGCACTGCAGCTTTCATTGTTAACAATTAAGATGTCTGAATACCATTATGAACCCATTGCTCTAGCGATTCGTCTTCATTAAACATTCGGGGCTCAAGGTGAGCCCAGGCGGTAGCTACACAGCAGTGTTTAACCGAGCAAAATTAGTAAGCATCCTGTGTGGGCAAGTGTGCTAATCAAGCTATGCTATGGACTGTTCCCACTAGGTAACATGCTCTAATCTAGGTTCATAACATGCTATTCAGAGAAGACTATCCTTTTGAACATTGCATGTTAGAGCTGGACTATGCACACGTAAGTGGGGTAGCATGCTTCCAACTGCAACTGGAGTGCTACTACTCACACACCATAAGAAAAATAGCAAGCATAGCTTTGTAGAAGCCAGGGAAGGGTCACTACATGAACCCAAATCACTGGATTTAGCCCTTACACCTTAAAGTGATGAGAAGCCTTTTAATGTCTAAAATGCACAAAAATGGACCAGAGGTTTCCATTGGTGGTTTCCTGGTCTGTAAAGCGGGCATACTGCCCGACTTCACAGGGCAATTGAGCAATGCATACTGTAGAAGGCTCAATCTATTAAAATCCTGAACTTCTCCTACAGGAGGCTGAACCTTCAGCTCCCACTGTCTTCAACATGAAGCCCTATGTTAGCAAAGCAGTTGGAGACCCTGATGTGAAGGGTGTTAGAGACATGCAAAAATATTACAGCTGTTCCTTATGAGCCCTGAGGCCAGAATAGGTGCATAGTTAGTCAACGTGAACAGTGTGCTGCTTTAACTTGCTGGATCGAACTGTGGGGGGAGGGGGGCTTTGTAAGAAGCCATTTCATAATAAAAGTGTCTGCAGCAGTGTGTGCTCTTGATTGCCTAATTCAAATGCAGGGGAAAAAAAACACTTAAGAATCAAATGCAAATTGGAAGCCACAATAGCCGCCTATTGACACAGCATGTGAAGTGTGCCACAGAAGCTACAAAGGGTCCAACGCTACTTGCACTAAGTATGTCTATACCGCAATTACAAACCCATGGCTGGACCAGGCCAGCTGACTCGGCTTTGCGGGTCCTGGGCTTGTGGGGCTCTTTTTGCAGTGTTTTCTTCTGGGCTTGGGCTGCAATATGAGTGCTTGAGACCCTGATACCTCGCAGGATCGGTGAGATAGCCCCACAGCCTGAGCTCCCCCCACCTCCCTCAGCCTGCAACAGCAGGAGGAGCAGGCTCTTGGTGACAACTAGCTTGCTGATATTTCCGTAGCAGCTCTGCTCTAGGTAGCTGACGCGCCATTATAATTAGCATCTATCCACGGCATCGCTTATTTTTATATTTCTAGCTGCGTAGATTTGGCAGGGCAAGACTGTACACTGAATAATTTATTTATCTTGTAACTGAAGCACCGTTGAGTCCTATCAGTGCCACAATTGTTTTATTCTCCCCTGTAAGCCTGCAATTAACAGAGGCCCATTGGAAACAAAGACCTGAAATGTAAGCAGCTGCACCTGACAAATATGGAAAAGTGCTGACTTCCAGCTGTGCCGAAGCCGCTGATTCCTCCACATATAACAGACTGTAATAGGGGATTTGTGGGTTTGTTTATGGTGACTCATCAGGTATCTTATCTACAAAGGTCACCTTATTTTAAAGAGCGTGTCTCAGATTGCTTTTGTACCAACCCTGCTCCCTGCAGTCCGTTGGCATTACTGACAAAAGCAGTGAACTTGCTCTGTTGCTATTAAGAACCACAGCCACTTGCTCCTTGTGTGCGGATGGAGTCCCGGAAAGAGAACCTGACTTCTCTTACAGAGGCAAACACTGTCTTATGCAGCAAGCTAGAGTAATGAGGCTTGACACCTGGACTGTTTTGTGGAAGCATGGGATGAAAACATCTTTCCTCGGGCAGGAGGGGGCTTTGCAGCCATTCCACGAACACGACCGCATCCGCAGGGCTGCAATGGCACTTTAACGTTGCCTGGCGTTCTATCGGGTAACTGATTTGTAACTGGTCCCACAGGTGGCAGAGCCCTTCAGAGAGAGGGGGCCAGGAACAAAACTCCTAAACGTTTCTCCCATGGGGCTGCAGTCACC